GGTGGTATGGTGGGTGGGACTAATGAAGTGGTGGGTGAGGCTTGGAATAGAGGTGGAACTTACTGCCCAAAATTTCTAGCAGTAGAACTCTCCCCAAATTCAAGGTTTTGCATTCCCCCTAAGACTCCCTTAGAATTTGGGGGTGTTTGGCCCATGGCCCCTGGAGCAGCCAAACCCTCAGATTTATGAGTTACCTGAGACGTAGAAGGTGCAGAAGGCGTGGCTCCCTTCTCAACCACTCCTTGCCCTTGTTTGCTATTGGAATCAACCAGCAGATCTTGGATTGCCTTCAGATGCTTGGTAACCTCCTCCTTGTGAGCTTGAGCCAAAATCGCTTGACTCTGGATTTCCTCATGAATTAGCTTGTTGTCTCCTTCTACCTCTTTCTGAAACTCCTCAAAGTTTAACCGCAGTTCTTCTACCGCAGCCTCCCACGCCGGCATCAAGACTTCTTCCTCCAATCCAGCAGCATGTCCCCTCCCCATGGTGAGAAATACAGATCTGGAGATTTCACAGGAAAGAACCTTGGCCTCTCCCAACCCTCTCTGCACTTCTCAATTCTGCATCTTCTCCACCAAATTCCAAAGCCTGGCTACGGAATTTTACAGAGGAACTTGTCCTCAAACCCTCACCAGCTTAGGACTCTTCGAATTGGAGAAAACTTGGCCAATTTTCGACTGATGCTCTGATACCTTTGTCAGATCCCGGGGTCAAATGTCACCAAAAATCTGCAGATTCGAGCTAATTTGGGCTAAGTAGCTACCTAATAGGATTCCTAAGGCAGAAATTAAGCTAAGAAAATTAAAGGATGCCGCAAGACAAGCAAGTAGGAACTAGGGTTTATATTTCTCGATCCCTTTTTCATCCACCCAGATCGCCTTATATGGAGTACGGGATCTGAGTGAGGAGGCTGGATAGCTCAGCAGGCTGTGATTACATTAAGTTTCAGAGTTTTAGGACAAAGAAGTACAGACACAGTAATTACTGAAATGAACCAGCTCCCTCGGATTTACATCATTGAACCGGTATCTTAGCATCTGCGCCGCCCATTCCCGCAACTCCTGTTTCTCTTTCTGATAAACAACTTCTTCAGATAAGCAAGGCCTGACACGAGCTTGCGGACAGCATGAATGGCGACGGTGGTGGACGAGCTCGGGTACGGTCGTACGGCGAATTGGATGGTAAATCCTGATAGGGCTGCGAATTGGGTGGCATATACTGAAAATTCTGCGGACGCGTAGTGGGCTCCCAGCGGACACGCGGACGCGGGTTCATCCAATCCATCTAGCTATGCGGCCTTCTCGTGGGGCGGCCTTGCGAGACTTTTTGCGGGGCGGCCTTGCGGGCAAGCGGGCTGGCCCGCTTGCCACCTGCACCCCTAAGCGAGAGGCGGATGCGGAGGCCATCGTGACGCGTTCAACGTCTCGTGCAAGCGCAGGTGGGGTCGGCGGAAGACACGGTGTTAGCGGGGCAGAGGGAAGGCTGGTGCAGCGTTGGCTTTACAAGCTTTGCAGAGGGAGGTGCAAGGGTAGGCAGAGGGATCCAGGGCCGGTCAGTATCGCCTTGTTGCGTCGAGCATCGGCTTTAGCACACTACAAGAGCTTAGGCCTTCTATGACTAATTAATTGTGACAATTACAGCCTTTTTCTTGTCATTGTACCCCTTCTATGACATACTAGTGACAAAATAGCTATAGTCATTGAATCCCTGTCATTATCCTCCTTCTGTGACTAATAGACCCAATTGTCATTAATCGTAGTGACAATTGCACGCTTGTCACCGGTCTATGACAATGGTTATTTGTCACTATATTTGTCATAATACATTAGATGGGATGCTGACAAGTGTCTAGCCATCTGACGTGGCATATGACGTGGCGTGTGACATGGCATGTGGAGTATGACAAAAATAATTGTCACAAAAATGAAGTTGGCCCATTTATAACATGGGCTGGTTTTGCAATTATAATTCAAATAAGCCTAACTAGCCCATGGGCCAGCCAACCAATTTTGGCCCATTTCTCAACAGCCTTTTTATTTTTTTCATGTAAGCCCAGTAGTATTTCAGCCCATTTTACAGTTGATATTGCAGCCCAAGCTCATTTAAAGAATCATCATAAATAATAAACAACTTACAATTTTATAACAAAAATAATTAGACATCCAAACAGATCATTTCCTCCAAAATTAATGGTTCATACAGCCTACATACAATAGTTCTAAACATTCACCATCCATACAAATGAATCACAACAAAATACGTCCACCAAAGTCTTACAAGTCCAACAGATCACCAGGTCACCAATCAGTAATACCAAACATACATCCATCAAAATCATTCTAGTCAAGGAAATAGCAGATGGCAACTTCCAATCATCGCATGTTCACCAACTGCAGCAACCACTCCACTTACAGTTTCAGTCATGGAAACAATAGCATACACAAGTTTTTGTCATCACGAGATCACTAACAGAAACAACCACACTCCGGTCCAGTCATGCCAAAAGCAAAACACATGGTGTCATACTCTAGTCACAGTCACACCAAACTCCATTCACAGATCACCAAAATGAATCCAACAGCCTGCAAAGAACATTGTGTCAGGAATTAACACTAGTAAGAAATGAACACAAGCTCAACAATCTAGTAGTCCCTAGGGGCAGCAACCTTTTGGAAATTATATTCACCAGTGGTTTTATTTATTCAGCCTCATGAGTCCTGGCACTATAGGAAGTCATTGTAGTAGAGATATTGATTCCAAACAGTACCTATGTTCATTTGATTCCAGTATCTAACTATATCATACAATACTACTAATAGTATAAAAAAATGAGAGGTCCAAGAACAAGAAACAGAAACTGCATTATGTAAGAAGAGGCATATCATAAGATGAAGATGTGTACCTAAGCGCAACCAAGTCAAGGAGGAGTGGTCTGATGAGTGACCTGAGTCTGTCCAAATGCTATCATCTGTCGAATGAGGTTCTGAGTATCTGCTGCTGACTTCTGAGTATCTGTTATTGCCTTCTTTAGGTTCTCAATCTCCTCAGCTTGTTTCTGAGCTTTTGCCTCAGATTCTTCTGCCTGGGCTTCCAACCTCTGGACCTTTTGGCGAAGTCCTGCAGATTCTTCCTTCTCAGCCTCCAATTGTGCTTGTAGCTCCTGCATCTGCGGTGAAATAGATTTTGGAGCGGCAACAGGCTGTTGAAGTCCCACATTACGAAGGAATGTGCTTGACTTTGTCAACACTTGGGCAACAATATCTGTGCAAGTCATTTCCTGCTCCCCTTCATGTACTGGTCTTCTCAAAATGGCTTCCATATCATCCTAGCAAGACAATGATTTGTCAGGTTTCCTTCACAATTTATTTTATCAGTAGTTTCCTTCACAATCTCTACTCTAGTCCACTTTCACTATTTATTTTTTTCACATTGTAAAGTTACATTGTATAGCAGGTTCTTGTGTGAAGATGATGATTAACGGGTGCATGAAGATGATGATTAACGAAATAACAGTTCAATCAATCTGGAGCAATAGAGAGTATACTTCAATTAGATGGAGAAGTCCAAGTTATGTATTTGTTTATGATATTGTAGCTAAAATTGTACATTTTTTTTCCTGAAGTTCACCTTTTCATGTAAGATGTAAATTACCATTCAGTGAATGAAATGTGTGATTTTTCGACAAGTCCCTCCCTGATTTTTTTTATTTATAATGCTAAAGTGTGATGCAGTCTGATGTTCTCCAAATAAAATTGTGGATGCCAGAATTGAGGAGGTCTTCTCTTGCCACGCGTCCTACGACCTCTCCGTCCACCGCTGCGGCACCACATCTACCCCTTCGCACCCTCCCTCGCCGCATCCCGCTTCCACGTCGACGCCGGGGGCCTCCTTTTCCACCACAACTTCACTGCCTCGTCTTCCATCGTCAAGGAGTTCATCCTCTCGGTGGACGCTGCTGGCAACACTTCCGACTGTCTCATCAACGCAACGGCAGCAACATGTGCACTGTCCGCGATTTTGGTCGTTACCGAGCCTGGCTGCCCTTCCCCACCCCCAGCGTGGCGCCATCCCCCACCCTCGATGAGGTGAGGCGCAACGGTGGACGGCACGGCGCCCTTCCCCCACTCCGGCGTCCTCCTTCACCGGGAACACTCAACCCGCCGCGACGCTCTCCCCTAGCCCGAGAATTGCAAAGTGTAGTTAACAACTTTTTCATTAATTTAAATTCATTTAGGGCCTCAGTCAGTTCGAAGCACTAATATATATATATATATATATATATATATATATATATATATATATATATATATATGGCAACATATCCTATGCACACAAGCCCTCACGTGTACACACGTGTACACCAACTAAAAAATGTCACCAAAAAATCTAGAAAAAATCATACCCATACTTTCAATTGTATTACACCTAGGGTTAAAATCTTAACGTCAAATTCATTATATTTTAGCCGTAACAAAAAAAACAAAAAATCTGACAGTTTTAAGGTTGTAATTTTGTCAGAATTTTATCTTTTTTGTTATTCTCTATGTAGAATGAATTTGAAGATGCGACTTTGCACGTAGATGTAATACTATTGAAAGTACATGTATGAATTTTCCTAGAATTTTTTGTGATAATTTTTAGTTGGTGTACACGGTGTGTACACGCGAGGGCCTGTGTGCATAGGATACGCTCCACATATATATATATATATATATATATATATATATATATATATATATATATATATATATATATATATATATATATATATATAAACGTATATGAAATTAATAGCCATCGTAGTAAGGATTAATAGCCATCGCATTAATGACCTTTAGGCACTGCTGCTAATAATCCTAGTACAAGAAAATGCCATGTCATGGATCATCCAAGAAACTAGAGTAATGATGCCTAGAGTAGAAACAAGGCAAAAGATGGCACAGATATTCCAGCAACTATGCTGTCCTCTCACAATCCAGAAATAAAATGAGAGCAACAAATGTCAGTACAATTCCAGGCACCAAGAACAGCTGGAATTCGCATATCTCAATTAAGGAGTTTACACAATTGAGTTCACAATTCATAATTATTTCACGGCTAACACATTAGGAGCTGTTTAAAAACAACAATTTCATCACAACTCAGATTCACATATCTCAATTACTCGACATCACTATACTCACCATCATCATTAGGGATCATAATTGTACATTCATTTTCACTATCATACTGCCCTAAGGTATCATCATCGTCATCATCATTGTACAGGTCATCTTCTTCAACTTCCAGATCCCGTTGCCTGCGAATCTGATCAACTAGGGACTTTGGTACACTTATACCATCTTCGTTGACTGGTTGTTTGTCGACCAGAGATCCTTCCATGGTTTCAACTCGAGATATTTCCTGCTCATCATCTTGGTATGTCAGATCAACCCCTCCCTCTTGCCTGTCATCATTTTCCTCCTCATTCACATTCCACAAGTGCCGATGCGAAAATTTTTGAACAACTTTCCAGGGTTCACCATGCTTGTTATCATCCAAGTAGAAAACCTTTGTTGCCTGTGTGGCAAGAATGAAAGCATCATCCTTGTACCAACAACTTCCATGGCTGATGCTTTTGAAATATCCATCATTCTTCATCCTAGACTTTTTGCTACAGGTATCAAACCAATCACACTTGAATAACACCACTGTCCTTTGACTGTCAGCGTCAGAGTTGTACTGCAACTGTATTACTTCTTTTAGCTGACCATAAAAGTCTATATCTTCTCCATTATGTGTGCCCTCAACCATAACTCCACTGTTTTGTGTTCTTCTACTGCTCTCACGTTCCACGGTGTGATATCGGACACCATCAACAATACATCCTGAAAATATACGAACTCTAAGAAGTGGTAGACTTGCCAATGCATATAGGTCTTCATCGATTTGTTCTCCATTCACAAACCTCCGAGTAGCAAGCTGCAGTATATATATATATATATATATATATATATATATATATATATATATATATATATTAGCAAGGTACACCAGAAATAATGCAAGTACTAGCAGACTACTTAACTCTAAAAATTTGTAAATAGATTTTTCCTTAGGTCCATTTTTTATGCACAGGTTCTTCCATATTGGTCTACTTGTTTTTTAGGGAGAAAAAGACATTTTCTCAAAATGATTCAGGTAACACTAGCATGAACCTGATATTTCTTACAATTAGAGAAAAAAAATGGTGTGACTTCTCTACTTAATATACCGTATTTCCTCGTGTGATGGTCATCACTGAAAACTGCAGCTTCCTCCAACTATTGCACTAGCATGTGCATGAAACTCCACACAGCACCATAGCCCTACCAGCTCTTTTGACAGGAACAAAATGCTATGTGGATGTAGCCACACAGCCTGACAACACCCCACAGATGAACAAGGACGCTGGACTGGGAATCTCCATCACCAATACGCAACAACAATCATCCTATCAGACTTATATACAGGGAGCTATCAGGAATGTCATCATGGCAGAAGAGGCAGCTGCACTTAATTTAGTCATCTAATCTCAAAACTAAACATGCTGCTAATAAAATCATTTGTTGTAAAAAAACAAAAAATGCACACGATGCTCTATTCCTCTCATGTGCTTCATTCTGCCAAGCAAGGTTTTCAACAGTAGAAGCAATGATGCATGATAGCACAGCTGCATTTTATTCATGTACATATGTAAATTTCATTTGCATTCTCACTTCAGTAAATGAGATATGTATGAGATATATTCATTTGCAATATACTGGAAATACTTAAATAATGATATATTATCACAGAGTCAAAACTGAAAATACTTAAATAATGACTCACATGTTTCCTAAACCATCCTGGAAATTCCTTAGCAAGGTTCCCCTCAACATCATGACTGCCAGCAGTTTGTAAATCCTTCATGTAAATCCTACAAACAGGTGCACAACTCCCATGTAAGAGCTAAAATTTTATATGATACACAAATAAAAACAGGTGCGCTATTCAAGGACATACTCTATAAATGGCTCGACCTCCTTAGTATTGTTGAGGACATACCAAACCATCCTATCATACTCCTTCTACTCATATGTAAGCCTTGGTGCCCCCAACAGATTTGCTCCATGCTGGAAAATAGATAAACCACATCTACTCATAGGAACACGCTCTTTGTTCCTACCCTCACGATTGTGCCTAGTGTCAACATCAGCAAAATACCTTGAGCAAGCAGTCAAGCACTCATTTGCGACATATGCCTCTGCAATGGAGCCCTCAGGCCTTGCCATGTTCCTTACAAAGCGTTTCAAGGTCAGCAACCTACGCTCTACAGGGTACATCCATCCATATTGAACAGGACCTCTTAGGATTGCATCATCAATTAAATGAATGCATAAGTGCACCATCACATCAAAAAAGGCAGGCGGGAAAATCTTCTCAAGCTTGCACAATATTATTGGGATTTCACCTCTCATCTTGTTCAAAGCATCTAACTTCAATTTCTTAGCACAAATTTGCTGGAAAAAGTTACCTAATTCAGCAATTGTTTCATATATTTCCTTATGCATGATTCCTCGGAGACCGGCTGGTAATATCCTTTGCAGAAGGATATGACAGTCGTGAGTTTTCAATGCCTGTACTTTGCATTCATCAACACTAACACACCTTGCTAAGTTGGAGGCATATCCATCTGGGAATTTGACATTTTTTATGAAAGCACAGAAAGCTTTTCTCTGGGCTTTAGTCATCACATATGGAGCATGTGGAGCAGTGCATGTTGAATTCCCATCATCCTTCAAGTGTAAATTTTTCCTTATGCCCATATCTTCTAAATCGAGCCTCGCAGTAACAGAGTCCTTTGACTTGCCTGCGATGTCGAGAAATGTACCAAGAAGGGCCTCACATATATTTTTCTCGATATGCATAACATCAAGATTGTGTCGTAGCTTTAAATTAGACCAATATGGCAAATCCCACAGAGTCGACCTGCGCTTCCAGCATTGACCTTCTTCTACCCTCTTTCTCTTTTTGTTATTAGGATGGTTCCCAGGTCTTACATGTTCCACCCTCGCCAATTGCTGCATCAACTCATCCTGAGTAAATTCTTCCGGTTGCGCACGTTCTTCAGTCTGACCATTAAAATCTTTCTTTCTCCTCCAAATATGGTCCACTGGAAGAAAACGGCGATGGCCAATGTAGCAAATCTTGTTCCTAAGTCTTTTGTAGCAAGGATTTTTATCACAACAAACGCAAGCATAGTAGCCTCTAGTTACTCTACCTGAAAGTGTGCTCAATGCTGGATAATCATGAATGCACCATATGATTGCAGCGTGAAGATCAAATTCTTTGCCGGTCAATGCATCCAAAGTAGGGACACCACTCCAAAGATTTAACAATTCTTCAACCAGTGGCTGCAGGAAGAGATCCATATCCTTTCCAGGGCATGTCGGACCAAGAATAAGTAGGCACATCATGAAGTTGGATTGCTCCATACATTGCCACGGAGGAAAGTTGTAAGGGATAAGAAATACTGGCCACATGCTATATGAGGAGCTCATCTTCCCAAATGGATTAAACCCATCAGTAGCGAGGCCAAGTCGGACATTCCGTGCATCATTTGCAAACCATTCATACTTTCTATCAAAATCTTTCCATGCCTCACCATCAGCAGGATGGCTAAGCTCATTGTCCACTGGTTTCCTCTTCAACTTGTGCCATTGTGCCTCAGCTGAAAGTTCTTTCGATCCAAACATCCTCTTCAACCTTGGAATCAAAGGAAAATGCCTTAGAACCTTTTCTGGAATCTTCCTTCGGCTATCTGCATCCTTCCATCTTGAAGCACCACATATTGGGCATGCATCCTTTTTAGCCAACTCCTTTCGGAAAAGAACACAGTTATTCGGACACACATGTATTGACTCATATCCAAGTCCTAATGCACGAATAAAATTCTTCGCTTCAGCATAGGATGCAGGGAGAGAACAATTTGGAAATGCTGAACTTAAAAGGTCAAAAAAAGCACTGAATGCAACATTGCTGATTCTGTAAAATGACTTGATGTGGAGCAACTTCACCACAAAAGAAAACCTAGTATAGGGACCACCGGGGTGTAGCACCTGTTTCATCTCTTCTAATATGGTGGCAAACTTTGACTTTGTTCTTGGTCCATGATTTTGATCTGGGTACAGATCCTGTACCATACGGTACATTTGATCATCTTCTGGGTCATCCGGAGGCTCATTCGTCTCAAATTCAACATTGCAGCTAACATCTTCATTCAAATGCTCAACATTGCAGCCAATATCTTCATTCAAATGCTCAACATTTCCAGTGACAATGACCAATGGTTCTCCATGATGTATCCACCGAGTGTATGTGTTAGACATCCCGTACATAAGTAAGTCATCCTCCACACGTCCTTTATATTGATGTAACCGATTCAAACACTTACGACATGGGCATAATATCTTCTGACTGCCACTCAAATTTTTACAAACAAAGTCCATGAACTCAGTGACCCCCTCCCGATGCTCCTTGCTAAACAACTTACAATTCATCCAAGTTCTTTCCATCTGTTACATATTGAAATAAGACAAGCATTGAATCAATGACTGATCATTGCCCAGACTGCTATTTTCCTATTTCTATCACTTCAAATCTATGGTTTCAGTTCAAAATTTAAAACCAAAACATAAGTTCTTCTCATATGTACCTTTCCTTCCTAATTGAAGGGGATGGGGCAGTCTCTGGTCGACCTCACCCGCCGTCGGCAGTGATCCCAGGCTAGAGCTCTTGGGGGCTTCCTAGCGGTTGAGCCCGTGAAGCCCAGCGGCCAGGATCTGCAGCCAGCCGGCCCAGCCGTCGAGATCCTAGAGGCGGGGGCGGGCTACTGTCGTCGGCGTCGGGCTCTTGGGGGCGTTCCCAGCAGTTGTGCCCATGAAGCCCGGCGTCCTGGAGCTGCAGCAAGCTGGCATCGAGCTCCTGGGGATGGGGTGGGGCTTGGGATCCAGCCGGCGGTGCCGGGCTCCAGAAGCCGCGTTGGGCGAAGGGCGACGGCGTCGAGCTCCAACAGCCGGGCGCTACGTTGGGGACAGGGTGGGGCTACAGCCTGCGGCGTTGGGCTCCAGCGGGAGCAATGGGAAAGGGCGGCGGCGTCGGGTCCAGCAGGCGCGATGGGGAAAGGGCAGTGGCGGCGGCGTCGGGTCCAGCAGCCGCGATGGGGAAAGGGCAGCGGCGTTGGTCTTTGCTAGATGTGCGTTGGGATTCTTATGTCTCCCAGCAATAGTCTACAAGATGAAAAGAATCAAAGATTAGCTCAGTGGTTTGTCTGTTACCTGGGATGCCAGAGGTCGTGTGTTCGATCCCTCCTCATTGCAAGAAGCGCTACATTTTTAGTCTTTTCAAGTTAATATTCTAACTTACACATGGGTCCCACATGTCCACCTAGACATGCTCACGTGGCTGTGCCAAGGTGTTCTTTTTTAAAAAACAAATGATTTTTAAATTATGACAATCATATTTATTCACTTTTGTCATGAACTATTGTCACAAAGAATGGGAAAGGCACATGGTGACATTTTCTTATGACTAAATTACAACTTAGTCACAAACGCTTGTCATCCAAAGAAAAATTGTCATAAAGGCATCACTACTGTGACTAAAATGTGTTTTGTCATATGAATTTTGTCATAGAAGGCCAAATTTCTTGTAGTGGCAGGGGGCGGCGACTCCGGGTTGGCGAGGCTCGCGACGAGGCCGACTTTGCCAGGCGCGGCATCGAGGTAGGGCATCGGGCAGAGGCGGCCTCGGCTTTGTGCAGCCTTGCAGCGGGATTTGCGGGCAGGGTGGCGTTGTCGGCTTGGAAGCGACGACCTCGGTCTCGCATGCTAGGTACTTGTTGAAAAGTCCAGAAGGGAGAGAGAGGAAGAGGAGAGAAAACTGAGATTTTGAGGGAAAATTTTGGAATAATTACATTGCTCCAAAGCTTGTGCAAATTTTACTGGAGCTTAATGTGGTCATTTACTTTATTTGGTGATTTTCTGGGATTTTTCGCATGTGTAGATTATTTTTTGAAAATTGAAAGAAGTTTTACGATTTTTATTTCAATTTGAACAAATTTTGATGTTTTCTCCTTTTTATTTGAGATGCAGATAACTGATTGGTTTTTTTTGTTCTATATATATATATATATATATATATATATATATATATATATATATATATATATATATATATATATATACCTAATAAAAAAAATACGTAAGGCTTCCTTCATTATTTTTGGTCCGTCGCCGATTTCCCACACACGCATGCCCCCACCCAAAAAAATTCCCAATCGGAATTCAATCAATCTTCACAATGGGAATTCAATGAAACCCCCCGAATCCCAATTGCACTAAGAATCGGATAAGGGAAACACCTTCCAAAATCGGCACAACCAAATCGGATGAACACACCGCAAGAAAAATTCAACCAATCTTTATCCCCAAAAAAATCATCCCACATACATACATCACAAAACTACACACCCTCGGCCGTCGCCGCTGTCGGCGGATCCATCCGCGGCCGCCACCGACGCCGCCACTGCCGACGGATCCATCGCCGCCGGATCTAGGGCGGGAGGGAGGCGACAGGGGAGGAGGGAGCCACCGCCGGCCAGCAGCCGCCGCCACCGCTGACGGACCCACCTGCCGACGCCGCCGACACCGCCATCGCCGCCGGATCTGGGGCAGGAAGGAGTCGAGAGGTGAGAAGGGAGCCGCCGCCGCCGGATCCACCCGCGGCTACCGCCGCCGCCGCCACCACCGGCGGATCTGCCGCAGGAGGGAGGCTAGAGGGGGTGGAGGGAACCGCCGCCGACGCCGCCCCTACCCTCGGATCCGCCGCAACCGCCACCAACCGGCCGCCGCCGACCCGAGAGGGAGAGGAGGAGGGGGGGCGCCGCCGCCGTCGCTTTGAGAGAGGGGATCGGGGGCGCCGCTCGCCGGTCGCTGCTCAGCGCCACCGCAGCCGCTCGGGGGAAGAAGGGGGGGGCGGCGGCGCCGCCGTCGTCGCTCGGCGAGGGGGGGGGAGGGACGGGGGGAGGGGGGAAATGAATCCTAGGGTTAGGGTTTGGGTATTTTTATTTAGCTTAGGATTAATCTGGACTGTCCATTCGATCGGACGGCTCCAGCTGCTCCCACGTCGGGCCGCCGGCCTATTGGGCCACCGAATGGAGGACGCAAAATAGACTTCAATGGAGAAAGAAAACAGGCCAGACACATAGAATAGACAAAAGGGAGGGAATATAAACTTTTCTATATTCGGCCCAAACATAGAAAGGAGGATTTTGATTTTTTTTTCCAATTAAATAATTTGTTAAATGATTTTTGTATTATTAAAAATTAGCAATTAAGCTCTGATAATTCCAATAAATTCCAAAGAGCATAACTAATCATGGAGAATTTAATCAAATTAAATTTAACCATGTCATTTTATTTTTCACACTTGCTTTACTTGTAAATTGATTTAATTATACACCTACCTACTTAAAAATACCAAATATTTTAATGAATTACATAATGTAAATTTTTTTTAACTTTTTCTCAATTTTTTTGTTCTGTACACTTCCCGTTGCAACGCACGGGCACCTTTGCTAGTATATATATATATATATATACACACACAAACACATATACACATGTTTTGTTTTTCTCAATTTTAATTTAAATATGCAAAAATGCAATGATGCGTAGAAAATCCAAAAAAAACAACCAAAATAAATTTTCACCACAATAAATATAAATGAAAAATCTCATTATATTGACTTTCTAAGGTTTTTGTTTTCACAATTTGGGTTTGTTACAGCTTGGCTGATCGGCGAGCTATCTAACGCTAACGCCTTCTCTCCTATTCTCCCTTACCCTCGTCTCCAGCCTTGCTCCCTGCTGGTGCTGTGGGCATCGCGTTGCTACTATCGTGACCAGCGTAGGACCTCCTTGCATCCCAACCACCGGTGCCACCATCTCCTACTAGCACTGTTGCCTCTCTTCGCATCGGCTGGTGTGGCTCTGCTCAAGGTACGGAGCACGTGTGTGTCGTGAGGAGGAAGCGCACACCTACATAATCGTCAATGAACACCGCATGAGTTAACTTCTGTGGCAAACTTTATTTTTTTTATAGTAGTATATAATAAGATAAGATAAATCCTACTTCCTCCATTTCAGGTTACAGGACGTTTTAACTTTGGTTAAAGTTAAACTACTTCAAGTTTAACTAAACTTATAGATAAATATAATATTTATAATATCAAATTAGTTTTATTAAATCAATGATTAAATATATTTTTATAATAAATTTATCTTGTGTTGAAAATGTTACTCACTCCGTTTCGAAATGTTTGATACCGTTGATTTTTTTAGCACATGTTTGACTGTTCGTCTTATTCAAAAAATTTTGTGAAATATATAAAACTATATGTATACATAAAAATATATTTAACAATGAATCAAATGATAGAAAAATAATTAATAATTACTTAATTTTTTTAATAAGATGAATGGTTAAACATATAATAAAAAGTCAATAGTGTCAAACATTTCGAAACGGATGGAGTATTATTTTTTTAAAGCAGTCAAAACGTCTTAAAACGAAGGGAGTATTCTATCCCCCCCCCCCCCCCCCCGGCGGCCCCCCCCCCCCCCCCTATCTTGTACATGAGTTACCTACATCTCCCGTGCCCCGCATCAATTGTCTCGTCTACGAGCGGCACCCGGACGACAAGCAGGCGGTCCAGTGGCCTCCTCTCGCCGCCGCCGTCAACGACTCCTTCCCAATCCCGGCCTTCTCTCTCCCTGGTATGCACAGGGCACAGCAGCAGTGCCGGCCCGGCTCTCAATTCTAATTTTGCCCCTGTCTCCTCTTTCCTGCCTCCCTCAAGGTTGCTAGCTAATCGAGATTGATCCAGGAACGGCCCGGGGCGGAGAATTTTGGAGCCATGGGTTTTCCTTCCAGTTTCACGGCATTGGTGTTCGCCCTACTGCTTACCTTCCTACAGTTTTCTAAGGCTGCAAACAGCCACTATCTTTTCAACAAAACCAGTGCTTTGGAGGCGGCCGACGTCAATGGCAACAATAGTGCGGAAATCTTGGCTGCTCCACTGTACCCGGTGAGTCATAGTTACCTATTGGAGATTGCTGTTGGGTCTCTGGGCAAAACTAGACTTGTCAGCTTCGACACAGCCGTCAACATGGTATGGCTGCAGTGTTCAGATTATTGTAGGGATTGCAATCCCTCCCAAGTTGGTACTAGTACTACGTATTACAATGCTAGCATGTCTATAAGCTACAATCCTCTGTCTTGCGATCACCCACTCTGCGGTGCCGGTGACAACCATGACCAACAAGTATTAGCTGAGTGCATGGATGGCACATGTACTTTCAAAGTCGATTCCTTGGACAATAACGGCGGCTGGGTACAAGGCATTCTAGGGTCTGATAGGATATCTATTTCAGACCATTTCTTCTTCCTTTTTGACACCAACATCATCTTTGGTTGTGCCACGGTAGACCACTCAAAATATACCTTAGATCAATATGGTAGTAGTGGTGTGGTTGGCCTGGGCCTAGGTAAATACTCACTCCCACAGCAGATCTCTGTTACGAGATTCTCCTACTGCTTGCCATCCTGGGTTAAGAACGAGCTTTTCTCACCTCCCTACGTGCTATTTGGGAGCAACGCGGTGCTGCAGGGCGATATGACACCGTTCCTCCCAGGGTTTCCCAAGTACTACCTCAAGCTCGAAGGGATCTCCTATGGAATTGTTCGTCTTGACATATTCGGCAGCAATGCCGCTGCCGCCGACCAATATCATCAGCAGGCACAATTTTGTCGTGGACCTTACCTTCCAGATGCTCAGTTCTATGCCATGTCAGTCGAGTCGGCAACATTTCCGCTCATGCTGCCGAGTCGCGCATACGAGCTGCTTGAAAAGGAATTTGAGCAAGACAATCCTCTTCTTATCAAGTCTCGCCTCCAACCCATGAACACTTGCTACAAAGGCAGTGTCGACGATATTGCTGACAATGCCACTATAACGCTGCATTTCCATGGTGGCATTGATTTGCAGTTGTCCAGGAATGCCACCTTTATGGAGATCACCTCCATGAATGGCGACCAAGAGGAGCGCTATGTGTGCCTTATCGTTGACAAGACGGTGGATGGGACAGCGGTACTGGGCTTATCACCCCAACTTGACCACAACATAGGATTTGATCTGGAGAACAAGCAGATCTCAATTTATCGCAAGATATGTTAGTTTGTCCCCTTATTAATTACATTGTTAATTTTCTTCTACTAGCTAATTAGACTCATTGTTACTGTACTTTTCTGCAAGCACCATTCATATCTAATATATGCATGCTGATGAAATGTAATAATGACTATGACTCTCGTAGCTTTTATTTTTTTATTAATATCACATAGCTTGCCAATTCATGCTGGGCAAGACATGCAGGTTGTTACACGCATTGTTGCATATTGTACTACACAAACCCATTTGATACTGGATGAATTTGATTTGTGTGGTGAATTGAGAAATCCAAAAAAACTCTCACAATCTTTACAGCTGCTGATGAGCAGTCAAAAACATACATAGAAGCTTCTTATGTTTTCAACCATAAATCAAGCTCATTATTTCATTAATAGTAAGAAGGATATATATATTCTGTGTAACTCAAAAGCAGCAAAACATATATGGATAAATAATGCAGCAACTTATGCAGGTCTTTGCAACATTTATCTGTTAAGTAGAGAGACAAGAAAAATATTATTGCGCTACTTTATGCGTAAGGGCATTGATTATTTGAACTGGAAGCATGAACACAGTGAAACACTGGGTTTGTTCATGCAAGCAAAAGACGTATACCTTAATTTGCTGCATGGCCACATTCACATGGAACTCAAAACCTCATTCACTGTGCCGCATGAACTCCCTGTTCTTCTTCATCTTCTCTAGCAGGTAGGGAGCCACCTCATTATCGAACTGCCTGATCGCCCTGTCATATATAGCAGCGATGATGGCCGCTAGTCCGCCACCACCGGTGCATCGCCGCCGGAGCTTCTCTATGAAGGCCATGGCCGCGGTGTAGCCGTGTAGGATGTTAGAGTTAATCTTGTTGTTTTGCATATTTGTGAGTCGGTCGTATCCAGCATTGGTTTGTGCAAGTTGTGTACGTGCTCATTATCTCACATTGGTTAGTGGCCAAGAGAGGCAGCCATGATGTGAGTGTTTGTGCGACCAGGTGCTTGGTCAATTCGTGGAGAGTGCTTAGGAGCAAATCAGCCGATGCATGCATTAGTTAGTTTGATCACACGTTGGCTTGGAGTTATGGCCAAGTCAAGCGAATGAGTCATGGCGAGAAGAGTGGATCAGATAGCTCATGCATGTAGTGATTGGTGGTGATCTGCATGTAGAGATAGGTGCTTTGAGTGTAGAAAAGTGAATAGTGGCCACGGGAGAATTTGGCCGAGTCGTGCAGCCAAACGTGGCAAAACCTGTGCGTGTGTGTTTATTATTTAAACGATGTAATCAGAGGTGGGATTAAGGAGTGTGGTGAAGAGGTGGGATTAAAGAGTGTGGTGAATAGAAGTGCAGCAGTGTGCGTGTGTACATTTGCTGCTGGTGTGCAGTGCCGAGACAAATACTTCCATTGTGTGTGTGTGATCTTGTGTTCGAGCTAACATAGGAGACTGCATTGTATCCTCAAACCCGTGGGATGCCGTAGGTTTGGTGTTAGATCTCGTTTTTGCCCCAGAGTCTCACGTTGAACTGTGGATCATCAATAGGGCGACGTCGAGAGGTACAGGCAGGGTTTGATCTATCGGAAAGAGGAAAATTTTAAGGGTCAGCGAAATTACGAAATTTCTAAAATTTTGGATTTTTTTTCCGGAAATTTCATACGAAATTTCAAACAAAATTTGAATTTGCACATAAAAAAAATTGGGGAAAATTGACCTACACCTCAATGGAGTAGCAGAGCGATAAAGGGAACATAGGAGAATGAAACAGCGAGATGCATGATGCGAGGTCCCGCCCAGCTTGGACTGCCGTTATCATCGATGCAATGCGCCGGAGAGTGCATCCGCCGCTGTTCAAGCCAACGGGCGGTAGAGTGCTGTTGTTGCACGTTGCCAGATCGAGAGCCGCTGCTGTCTTCGAGCCGGAGCAAGCCTGCTAATGGTCTTGAATCCACTCCATATCCAAACCTAACCATTCGAATCACAGCTGCTTCCCCAGACCAAACCAATCCACCCACCGTGTTCTGAAACCCAAACCAATTCAACCAAAATAACATTTCCCCCAAACCGAACCAACCCATTTTATATTTTTGGCTGAAACCATTTCCAAAAACCAATCCAACTATCGGAGGCGCTGCCGTCGGCGCTCGCTCATCCTATTGATGTTGATCATCAGACAAAGAAAGGAATGAAAATTGATGAATTGAGTTACATGTATGAGTTGTTTCCGGACGGCCTGAAACTCGTCGTTCCTTGATGAGCAGAGCATGGTTGAGCAACTCCTTTGCTCGCATATCATCCATCATATTATCTTTGTCTTGCTCTAGCTTCTTCTCCACATTGTCTTGGTCGAGCTGCTTCGACGTCGCGCCAAGCTCCGGCATCTTCTAAGTGGCAGCGATGGCCGAGCTCCGGCATCTTCTCGGCGGCGGTGATGGCAGCCTTGGCAGGGATGCGGCTCCTGCTCATTGGGTAGTACCAGCGGCAACGACGGCAAACTGTGTTGAGTTGTAATCCAAATTCATTTGCACTTAATAAAGACCAGCTTCTGCCGTAGTGGAGCGGAGGCCCGTCGCCGGGAGGCTTGGGCCGGAGCAAAACGGATCGTCATCCCTTTTAGGGTTCCACCATATATATACCTCTTGTAAGCCGCCGTGCGGCGTGGTAACCTCACCCCAGATATAGTGAAGATATTTTGCTGGCTGGCGTCCGTGGTTTTTTCTCTCCTACTTTGGGAGGGTTTTCCACGTTAAATCTCGTGTCTTCTGTGATTGATCTATTGTTTTCTTTATCGTTTGTTCGCTTATCGTTTCCTAACAAGTGGTATCAGAGCTTGTTCCCACATTAGGGTTTCACGATGGCATCGATGAAGTATGATCTACCGCTGCTAGACTACAAGACGAGATTCTCGCTGTGGCAAGTCAAGATGCGGGCTGTTCTGGCGCAAACTTCGGATCTTGATGAGGCGCTGGAAAGTTTCGGGAAGAAGAAATCGACTGAATGGACCGCTGAGGAGAAGCGGAAAGATCGTAAGGCTCTGTCGCTGATCCAACTTCATCTATCTAATGATATTTTGCAAGAAGTGTTGCAGGAAAAGACTGCTGCAGAACTTTGGCTCAAACTGGAATCGATCTGCATGTCTAAAGATCTAACCAGTAAGATGCATATCAAGATGAAGTTGTTCTCGCACAAGTTGCAGGAGAGTGGTTCTGTGTTGAACCACATATCGGTCTTTAAGGAGATCGTTGCCGACCTACCGTCGATGGAGGTACAGTTTGATGATGAAGATTTAGGTCTTTTACTGTTATGCTCACTGCCTAGTTCATATGCAAATTTTCGTAACACCATACTTTTAAGCCGTAATGAACTAACCCTAGCGGAAGTTGATGAGGCACTCCAAAACAGGGAGAAGATGAAAGGTATGGTTCAGTCTGATGTGTCGTCCTCTAAGGGCGAAGCATTGCAGGTCAGAGGCATATCTGAGCAGAGAACCTACAACGATAGCAATAATCATGACAAGAGCCAGAGTAGAGGCCGTTCCAAGTCCAGAGGTAAAAAGTTCTGTAAGTATTGCAAAAAGAAAAATCATTTCATTGAAGAATGTTGGAAGCTGCAGAATAAGGAGAAAAGGAAATCTGATGGTAAGGCTTCTGTTGTTACCAGTGCTGAAAACTCTGATTCAGGATATTGTCTTATCGTTTTTGCTGGTTGTGTTGCTAGTCATGATGAATGGATTCTTGATACTGCATGTTCGTTTCATATCTGCATTAACAGAGATTGGTTTAATTCTTACAAGTCTGTGCAGAATGGAGATGTTGTGCGCATGGGAGATGATAACCCACGTGAGATTGTGGGTATTGGCTCCGTACAGATCAAGACACATGATGGCATGACACGCACGCTGAAAGATGTGAGACACATACCAGGGATGGCGAGAAATCTCATCTCTCTCAGCACACTTGATGCTGGAGGATACAAATACTCCGGTTCAGGTGGAGTTGTAAAGGTATCTAAAGGTTCTCTCGTTTATATGATTGGTGATATAAATTCTGCAAACTTATATGTCCTTAGAGGAAGTACATTACATAGTTCTGTTACCGCTGCTGTTGTTTCTAAATATGAACCTAGTAAGACTAACCTGTGGCATATGCGTCTTGGACATATGAGTGAACTTGGTATGGCAGAATTGATGAAGAGGAACCTGTTGGATGGCTGCACTCAGGGTAACATGAAGTTTTGTGAGCACTGTGTTTTTAGTAAGCACAAGAGGGTAAAGTTCAATACCTCAGTTCATCGCACCAAAGGTATACTTGATTATGTACATGCTGATTTGTGGGGGCCTTCTCGTAAGCCCTCTCTTGGTGGTGCTCGTTATATGCTTACCATTATTGATGATTACTCTAGAAAAGTGTAGCCTTATTTCCTGAAACATAAAGATGATACATTTGCTGCTTTTAAAGAGTGGAAAGTCATGATAGAAAGGCAAACTGAAAAGGAGGTAAAAGTACTTCGCACTGACAATGGTGGTGAATTTTGTTCGGATGCTTTTGATGATTACTGCAAGAAGGAAGGCATCGTTAGGCATCACACCATCCCGTACACTCCACAGCAGAATAGTGTGGCTGAGCGCATGAACAGAACCATCATCTCCAAGGCTCGTTGTATGCTGTCCAATGCTCGCATGAACAAGCGATTTTGGGCAGAGGCTGCTAACACCGCCTGCTACTTGATTAACAGGTCGCCTTCTATCCCACTTAATAAGAAAACTCCCATTGAGGTATGGTCTGGTATGCCTGCTGATTATTCACAGTTGAGAGTTTTTGGATGCACTGCTTATGCTCATGTTGATAATGGAAAATTAGAGCCTAGAGCTATTAAGTGTCTGTTTCTTGGTTATGGTTCAGGAGTAAAAGGTTATAAGTTATGGAATCCTGAAACTAATAAGACATTCATGAGCAGGAGTGTTGTTTTCAATGAATCTGTTATGTTTAATGACAGCTTGCCCACAGATATCATACCAGGTGGTTCTGATAAGGAGCAGCAATATGTTAGCGTGCAGGTGGAACACGTGGATGATCAGGAAACTGAAATTGTTGGTAATGATGTTAATGATACTGTTTAGCACTCACCTCCTGTTTTGCAGCCACAAGATGAACCTATTGCACATCGCAGAACAAAGAGGAGTTGTGGAGCTCCAGTCCGCCTTATTGAGGAATGTGATATGGTTTATTATGCTTTTAGTTGTGCTGAACAGGTGGAGAATACTCTTGAGCCAGCCACATACACTGAAGC